GCGGACGAGCGAATGAAGACAGAGAGGCTGTGGTGGCGATCACATCTCCTCTCCAGGCGGCCCACCTTGCCCTACGTGCAGCCCACTCTAGAGCTGTTCTAAGTGCCTCACCTAGCAGTTGGGCCACACAGTCCTCTGGGCCCAGCCGCACTGGTCACTGGGTTCATGCCCCACCTGCCCTACTGCCCCAAGCCAACCCCACAGTGACCCTAATGCACAGGCCTACACAGTGAGACCCTGTCTCGCAAACGAACGCTCCCACGTGCCTGCGATCACTAGGCTTCTGACTTTTGCAGGCACGCTTCCCACAGTGGTGGGGTACTGGGGCGGCACGAATGCACGGGCTCCAGGCAGGCTGGGCAGCAATTCTCTCTGTGGCGCCAGCACAGGCAGCTGGAGTACCAAACGCAGCACACTTCCTGGGCGTGGGCGGTGGTCAGCTGGCAGCAGCCTCTCCACACTGGGCTGTGCGTGGCAGAGCCGCCAGGATCCTTCACACAGCCCGGCCATGGGGATGGGAGGAGGGCCTCGTTATGTACCTGGGCAGAAAGGCTGGCAGAGGCCACCTGGCTTTTCTTCCTACTGGTGCAATGACGCAGGAGGAAGAGGATACATCCTGGAGCAGAGGAAGGACAGGAGCCAGTCTCAGCCAGGACTGCCCCCCACAGGAGAGCAGAGGCCAAGGACGTGAACTCAGGCACAGGATACCCTGGGTCTAGGTGAAGGCTGTCCCCCTCTTTTGTCTCTCATGCAAGTTCTAACCAGGCCCAACTCTTCTTAGCTTCTGAGATCAGACGAGATCAGGCGTGTTTAGGGTGGTGCGGCCACAATGCACCCCTCTCTTGCCACCCAAGGCATCAGTTTCTCTGGCCACTGAGGGCAGACAGTGTGGTCCTTTGGTCACTCTCTTTGCAGGTAAGCGTGGGCCCCTAGTGACTTTGCTCAATGATGGGAATGACTGCAAACTTGCTTTACATCTGATTTTCCTAGCAGAGCCAATAGACACACAGACCTCGGTAGCCCCTGAGTAAGCTGGCTGGGGGCCGGGACACTAGCTCCCTGTCCCAGCCCGTTTGAAGTCCTACTTCCCTTTCCCCTTCAAGCCTCAGTTTGCCCACAAGGCCTCTAAAATTCTAAGACAGGGGGACAAAACAGTCACGGAACCTCTACCTCTGGACTCAGGACAATCCTTTTGTCTTTCCCGCAGCTGTGACTCAGGCAGGAAGTAGTGAGGGGCAGGACAAGGGTGTGGTGCTGGCGGCCAGGCAGGAAGCAGAGGGACACCTGAGACAGAGGCAGGGTCACTGTCCTAGCAGCTACAGCAGGGAAGAGGCCAGGAGCAGAGTGGGTGGGGCCGCTGCGGGAAGGAGACAGCAAAGACCTGGGCTCTCAGGTACCCACAGGCCAGGTGCCCTGGTAGCTGTGGGACAGCAGTCTCCCTCCTTACGCCCCAGGGTGGCACCTTCTGCATCAGGGCCTGATGATCTCTCCTCCCACCAGATAAACTGGCATCAGGCCCCGGGGTTTGCTTGCACCCTGCTGATTCTGGGCACTCAGCTCTCCACCCATGCTTGTGCCTCCCCGGCTGACGAGACTGCTGCAAAGATGCTAGGCAGGGGAGCTCAGCCAACAGAAGGTGCGGGAGTTCGTCCCTCCTGCCGAAGGGCGTCCCATCAGGTGCTCCATCCCCCGCTCGGTGAGAGCAGAAGGGCTGCAGAGCTTCCCTGGGGTGGCCTTGATCTTCCCACCAGGGAAGACACCTCTGAAGCCCTTGCCCTGTGGCGCAGCTGCTGGGTCCACAGCAGGCGGGCAATAATCACAGCAATGTGAGGGGAACAGTGGCTCTCTGCGTCAGGACATCTGCTTCTACTGCAAGGCACTGAGCCCTGAAGGAGGGGGTGCAGATGGGGGGAGACAGTACCACCCCATCTGCCTGAACAAGCCCAACGGGGCCTTGCAGTAGGAAGCAGGCCCCAGGCCAGCCATTCAATGCTATTCCCGGACCCCAGCGTCCCAGTCACTGCTACCTGTCCATCTTGGACCTCTACTTCTACATGAGGCTTTGACAGGCCGGGAGCAGGTGACACGCAGACGTCCTCGCGGGTCTGTTTCCCCTCTCCAGAAGCTGCCGAGCCGCAGGTGCCAGCCAACCGCTCTGGTCCTCAGATCCTCTCAGCGGGAGGTCTAAACCTGCTGTCCACCCAGATCCTTCCTGAGACCTCCATCAACCTTCCTCTCACTTCCTGCCCTTCCTCTGGCCCCTCATCTGTGAAATGGCACAACCCATCTTCTCTTCCTAGGAGAGGTTAGCACGGAGAACAACGCTCCCGCAGCGCCCGACACAGAGTAAGCGTTCAGATCAAAGCCATCACCATCCTCCACCCTGTGAAAGAACACAGGTCTCCCGGGCCTTTCATTCCCTACACTCCACCCTGGCCATGCTGCGCCGGGCACCGTGGCAGCTACCGCAGAGTGGACTACTGGTGGTGTCTTCTTTGTAGGGAGCTTCTGCAGGCTTTTAGAGCGGGTAAAGGGCAGCGAACAGTGGCGAACAGGCAGATTCAGGCAGGCTTCCCTGCTGGGACTTAGTGTAACCCAGGGCAGGAGTAAGAACCACTCACTCCACCGCTGGCTTCTGGCTTCGTTTTGAGTTCGTCACTTCCTTTGCACATACGCGGCGCTCCTGCATGGCTGGGCCTCCTTCCTGCCCAGGAGCCACCAGCCCTGCTCACCGACACCACACTAGGCAGGCTGGGTAAAGGCCTCCCTGAAGACAGCTCCGGGGCCAGAGGGTGCCCTAGGACACACAGGGCTGAGGGGAGCAGACAACTGACGTGGCAGCTCCAGGGCAGGCCCTTTCATAAGCAGCAGAGGCGGGGACCACAGCACAGACTTGGGCAGTCGTCCAGCTATAATAACCCGCAGTGCCAGGCGTGTCCACACTGCCACAAACCCCGTGGGAGCACGGTGGAGCAGATGGGGGTGGGCCCTGGGGAGCCCACCCCAAGGGCAGCCCAGACAGCGTCTCCCACTCTCACCCCTAGAGGGTGCCCTGTCTCCAGCCTCAGCCCCTCTTCAGGCTCCCGCAGCGACTTGCACTGCCCAGGCCTGGTCGCCACCAGGGGGAGCGGTCAGCCAGGAACAAAGGGCAGGAGGCGGGGGGGCTGGGCAGCCGGGCAGTGTTTGGTTTCAGAAAGGCAGCCTCCCGCGCAGGGTGCCTGGGGGAGGTGCCTGGACCCTCATTCATCACCTTGGGAAGCCCCCCGCCAGCAGTGGGAGACTGCACACACTGAACAATGGCAACAGGATGGGGGCAGAGGAGAGGCCTCGCCAGACAAAGGCCGGGCAAGCCCCGCCCCGGGCCGCCCTTGCTTCCTCCAGGTGCTGCGCTCTGGCTCCCTCACTCTCTCCGAGGAGGCTCAGCCGGCCCCACAGTGTGTGTGGTGGGGGCAGGGACGGGGGAGGGGGGCTAGGATGTGGCCTGGCTTTCTACCAGATGCCCCAAACACCAACAAACAGGACACCTCCCTCTCCAGGCTCTGCCCCTGGGACCGGCTCCAGCCGCTTCCCAGCGTTAACGATGCCACCATGGAAATACCAACAAGCAGGCCTGCCTGGCTCCTCCGGGACACGGGGCCAGCTGTCCGGGGTCAGGCTGCAGAAGGCCAGCCTGGGGTAAGCAGAGGAGGCCGTGAGCAGAAGCTGGACAAGCCTGGGTCACCCAGGGACACCCCTTCCTGGAAGCGTCTTCGCTCACGGAGGCCCTTGGATGTTCTCCAGGCACCCGATGCACGGCCACCTCTCCTCTGACTCTGCATTCGCCTCGGGTGAAGCGCCTAGAGCCTTGGCCTCCACGTCCCCTGCGACACTGCTGCGGGACACATGAGCGCAGAAACCCCAAGGCCGTCCTACGCCACTTTCCTCAGGTCTTCACACTCACGCCAAACTACGTGAGGGGCCACAGGCCACAGGGCCACGCGAACTGTGACATCCTAGGTCCCGGGACTGGGCAGGCAGGAAGAGGACAGCCTGAGATAACCCAGTGAAGAGCGGGGCCTCTGGAAGCCGGGCTTGGGTTGCGAGGAAGATGCATGGTCTCTGCTTTCTGTAGGTCCCCCTGAAAGCTTCTCCCTGCCTCTCCAGGCCCCTCAGGCCCTTGGGATCTGGCCTGACACCACAAAGCAGAGCCCATGGGAAGCTTCAAAGGGGATGGGCAAGTTCCTACCAGCTACAATACTCAGTCAGAGGCCAAGGAGCAGGAGGACCCGGCTTCACCAGCTATTGTGTGGGCCCACAGCACCGCCACATGCAGCTGACACATAGGACCTAAGCACTGCATACGCCCGGGACAGCCCATGCTCGCTGCAGGAGCCTACGGGCGCACTCTCCCCTCAGCGGGCCACCTCCCTGCCCCAGGCCCCACCATACTTCCGCAGCTGTCAGCCCTCCTCAGGCCTGGTCTCTCTGGGAGCTTAATATGTGGGGAAGAAAGCCAGGGGTGGTGGCACACACCTATAATCTAGCACTCGGGAAGCTGAGGCAGGAGGATCACTGCAAGTTCTAGGCCAACCTGGACTACACAGTGAGCTCAAGGCCAGCCGGAACTCTGCAGCAAGACCTTGTCTCAAAGAAACCAAAAAAAAAAAAAAAAGAGGGGAAGAGTGAGGCACTAAGTTGCTGACTGTGACATGAACATTACTGAGAGGAGACACGGGGCGGGTGGAAAGACGGGAAGTAAAAACAGGGGTAGCTGCACGCAGGATGAGGTCACCCTATGGGTACTAGGCATATTTCTGGTTATGAGTAGCAGATTCATAGCGTTTTATGTCCTACATCCTGCGGTGAAAGAGAAGTTGAAGTCTCCTGAGGCATACACAGAACACACAGGCACCCATGGCATCCACCCCCACTAGCTGTCCATCATCTTTGTTTTGTCTTGTTTTTTTGAGACAAGGTCTCACCATGTAGTCCAGGCTGGCCTCAAACTCACTTTGTAGCCCAGGCTGCTCTGGAACCCATGGTCATCCTCCTGCCTCAGCCTCCCACGTGCTGGGATTATAGGCGTGCGCCACCATAGCAGTGCTGTCCATCATGCTGACTGACCAGGCACAGTTTCCCAGGGGCTACCGTGGCTGAGCAGGTGCTCAGACACTACCTGAGTCATATCCTGGTATCTCCGCTTATTGGATAAGTTGCCTCAGTTTCTGCATCAGCGAAGGGTGTGATGCCAGGCCCAGCCCCACCGAATGACATGATACTAGAAGAAAACCAACTCCATACAACAGTCCAGGCTCAATCAAAAGCAGCTGCTGTTATGAGAGGGAAAACCGAGGCTCAGGGAAAGCGCTCAGGGCTCTGTGGCTGGTGGTGGGGGTCCTAAGGCTCCCTCTGTCCATCTCAGGCAGGGGAAACCCAGAGTGAGCTCATCCTGGGGCTCCTGCTCCATTTCCAGGCATTCATTCAGGCTGTGGCTGGCCTTCCGGCTCTGGAGGGCAATGGCCGCTCAGGAATCTAAGATCAGTCCTCTGCCTTCCTGCTAGCGCTTGCCCTCCTCCCCCCACTGTGTCCCTCTCCCAGCCACTACTTCCCATGGCCAAAGGAAGCCCTGGGAATCCTTTTCAGAGATGCTAGGCTACCTTCTCTGGAATCCCTGGCCCAGAAGTTGCTCGGGCAAGACAAGGACGGAGCCACCTGGACGGGCCCCAATCCAGCGAGTGCCTACAGGGCACCCACAGAAAGGAGCACACAGAGCAGCCTGGGCAGGTGTTCGCCTCCTGGGCCTTGCAGGTGGCAAAGCCCTGGGCAGCCCAGGACTCGCACCTCCACACTGGCAGCAAGCAACCCTCCGGCTTCTTCCTCTTTTAGGCTCCTCCTCTGCCAGCTGCTTCCTCCTTTTCCTCTGATGTGGACACCACTTCCTGGAGAGGCCCTGGCACGCAGACCTCACTGTCCCTCTGCCTGGGCACAGCAGGTACTGCCATCAATGTCCCTTCCACACATCTGTGGATATAGCAGCCTTGAGGCCCCAGAATCCTCCAGGCCTTATGGACACCTTCTCCCCAAGAAGACTTAGAGGATCTCACCTTAGGCTTTCACTCAAACCGGCCAGGCACTCTCTTCTGGTGCCAAGGCAAAGACCCCGCCTAGATGCCCCCTTATTCTGGTGACCCCCCCCAGCCTAAGAAACACTAGTAGGGTGAGGGTGGGACTAGGTTTAGTAAAAACAAGAGCTCCAGGCTAGAGGGATGGGTGGAGCTGAGCAGAGGAAGCCCCACCCTGCACCTGCAGCTCACTCAGGGCTTCAGGTACCAAGGACATCTTTAAAGAGCCCAATCCTTTGCCTTCCCTTTTTTAAAACCAGGAATCAAACCCAGGACCTCATGCCTACCAGGCAGGCGCTGTGCCACTGAACTATGTCGCCAGCCCACCTTTTGGAGCACTCTTAGGCAAGTCATTACCTGTGGCCTGCTCACAACCTGTTGATCCCTTCCCCTCTCCTCGGTGAACCCCCAGGTTGGGACTGTCCCAAGGAGCAGGATGATGAGAACACTACCTGGCCTGCGTCCTAACCCACAGCCCAGGTCCTGCCTCCACCACAGCAGAGGGCAGCTGAAGAGGAAGTGCTCGGCCGGGGTGGGGTCAGGAGGCCCTCCGCCCTCAGCAGAGCCCACACGGACAGGGATGCCTGCATCCTGCTTCTGCCAGGTAAGCACGGGGCTTTTAGAAAGAGTCTGGGAGAGACACACCAGGAGTGAGATCATGGGCACAGTGCATGGGACCAGGCTGCGCAACCGTGGTCCCAAGCACCAGCACCCCCAGCCACAGTGCGGGAGGCCGAGGGACCTCCCTGGGATGGCATCACACCCCACCCCAGCACTATCTACCTGTTGCCACTTAGGGGGCAAATAAATGCTACCCTGCTTCTCAGGTCTGCGCCAACTCAACGGGACAGAGGCCCAGGGAGGTCCCTGGCCATTTCCAGTTCCCACTGGCACCCCAGACTCCAATACAAATATAATGGGTGGCTTCAGGGTCCCTGGCACAGCAGCCTTTGCCCCTCAATCGGCCTGGCTTCCATGCCAGCCACCATGGCAGCTTTTCCTTCTGTCCCCCACCCCCAGTGGCTCTGTTCAGAGTTCCACTCTGACCTGACAGGGCTGTCCCCAACTGAGCTCCCTGATTCACCCGTGTCTCAGCTCAGGGGCACTTCCCCGAGGACCTAGTGCCTGGCCTCCCTCCTCCCTCCCTCGAGGTACAACTTCTCACGTCCATGGTGCCAGCATGGGGGGGGATGGGTGGGTGCTGAGCCTTGCGGGGCTGGGAAGGCACAAGCAGATGCAGACTGGGCTCAGACCCCCCCAGCGTGGGAGCTGGGTCCCAAGGCTGCGCAGACAAAGCCTCGCCTAGTCTGGGGGAGGGGTGGGAAAAGACTCCAAGGCCCATGATGCCCCACCCCCCATTCAAGTGCTAATGAGCTCCAGCCGGGAATAGACGGCTGCGGGAGAAAATGTCAGCGCTGGAGGCCCACTTGGGTACCAGCCCTCCAGGCACCACGGGCGCTGACACACCTCCAAACCTAGACCCTCAGAGCGGTGCTGGGGGAGTCCCTCACTCTACTTGGTACCGACTCTGCACACCTGGGTCTCCCCACTTGCTGTGAGTGGCCACCCAAGGGCGAGGCAGATGATTCCCTGGGACTCCCCTGGGACACCCACACTGGGTAGGATGCTCCACTCTGCAGGACCCAGCAGCCAGCCCCTCACTTTCTCCCCTCCGGGGTGTGGTGCATGGTCCCACCACACTCACGGCTGCAGAAAGGCACCCCGGTCCCCAGGCTGTGCGTGGAGGGCAGCACCCTGCCAGAGCTTCACCTGAAGCCGTTTTCCCAGCTGGCATAGCAAGTGAAGCCAGGATTCCAACTTCGGTCTCTGTGACCTTAAGGTGAGCCCCTTCCCCGAGGCCAGAAATACTCAGTAAGACCTTTAGAATCCAGGCCAGTTCAGCTGTCTCAATGCCCTGGCTGGGGCGGCACCTCTGTCCACAGTGGTGACAATTTTCAAGGCCACCGGAGGATCCCTCTTCAGGAAGCCAGCTTTACAGATGTCCTAGAATCTGCCTACCCCTCAACCAGCCAGGATCCCAGGCTAGCCCTCCTACCCATCTGCCGCTAGACCAGGCAGGCGCAAGCGGCAGCCCAGGAGTCTATCAGCCCTCTCCCCAGGAACTGTGCTGCGGTCACGGATGTGTTCCATGGCTTCACCGTCCACACACATACCTAACATGCACCTTACGGCAGGCCAGCTCCTCGCCAGAGACACGCAGACAGGACAGGGTCACACGATTCCCTTGTCATTTGGTAAACTTACTTGAGCCCTTGCTTAGCCCAGCAGTGTGCCGGCAGGCCGGGAGCGCCAGGGGCATGCTCAGGTCTCAGCCCCACAGCTGCTCTGGAGCTCTGTTCAGACAGCAGCCCCAGGGGAATTCAAAACAGCTGGAGTTGGGGGGATGAATACAAAGCCACCTTCGCTCACCAACAGTTGAGTCCCTACTGTGTGCTGTGCCTTGGTACAGGCTGCAGGATGGGCAGCAAGAGTTCTGCAAGGAGTGGGTAGAGGCTGCCCACAAGCCTCTGAGAGCCAGGAAGAAAGAGCCCAAAGAACATTTTTTTCAAGGGCCCACCCTCTCCATCCTGGTCATTCACCTACAAGGAGACCTGGCCACCTGCCAACAGTACGCCAGCTCTGATCTCTGCCTCCCCATCTCCCAAACCAAGTTCTGTGGGTGCATCCTTCATTCATTACACGAGAAGCACCCAAGAGGTGCCAGGCTGCCTGCTAGGCACAGGAATGAAAGGGACACAGCCTTGCCCTGAAGGGAGCGCAGCAAGCCAGTACCATGCTCTGACGAAGCAAGCAGTGGTGCCCAGAGCCATAGGTGCTTCCCTGGACGCTGCGGAGGTCCAGGAGGGAACCTGGGGGAAGCTTCCAAGAGCCAGCGTTACAGATCAGTCAACCAGGTAGGTAGGGAACAGAAAGACGAAGTGCCGGGAAAAGGCAGAACTGCTGTAATACACTCTGAAGTCTCCCTGGAGCCACGTCCCTCCCTTCTCTGTGAGGCTGTCCACCAAGACCCCAACTTCCGCCTGCACCTGGCTGGTCAGATGGGCTAAACTGGCAGGGCAGGGATGGCGGGAACCCTGGGATGGGGCTGGCATCAGCTCCTCTGCTCCCCTCACTGAGCTGCCAGGAAAAGCTCCCTTCCCCGTGCGTATCACATCTGCCTTTGCCCCGGTGACAGTGACTGTGCCTGCTAGCTGGCAAGGATACAAAGAAGGGGCGGGAGTCAGGGTGCGGGCAGGGCAGCAGGCGTGGTTCTGGCTGAGGGAAGGTTGGCACTTGCCCAGCCTGAGTCCCGTTGCCTAGACAGTTTCCCGCTACGTGGGACAGGCGCCCAGAACTCAACCTGCCACAGCTGGACTCCCACCACCGCCGCACTCCTGGACAGGTAAAGGATGGCTCAAACCAGGACCCCTCCCCAGGCACGTGGCAGACTGGCACCTGAGGACTGAGTTCTCAGTGTCAGGCAGGGCTTGGTTCTTCAGCCCCGGCAGGATGCTCTCCATAGGGTCTTAGCTCCACCCTCCACATTCCCAGCAAGAATCTCGATGAGGCTCCTGTCTGCGCCATCCTTAAGCCCCGGCAGTCCTGTGGACCAAACCCAGGCAACCCTTTCAGAGGAAGCAAAGGCCGGTCGGGCAGGACACCAGGCTGGCCGCTCACAGCCCAGTGTGGGAGGGGTCGCCAGGTCCCACCTGCACCGGCCCAAAGGCTGAGCTGGGCTCCAAGGGGCAGGCCTGTCCAGATGGGGCACAGGGAGGCCAGGAGCCGTGGCCCTGGGTCTGCCCCACGTCCCCTCAGCCTTCACAGTAACTACGATCCGCCGGGAGGAGCTGACAAGGGCTCTGCCCCGGGCACCGGGAGATGCAGTCCCGGAAGTGCCCTCCCCAGGCCCAGCAGCAGCGGGCATTGCGCCGCGTCCACACCCACTCGCTGCCTGCCGCACTCCCAGCCGAGACAGGAAGAGGCAAGCACCCGCCGCACAGCAGCCCAGGAGGCTGGGCCGCCGCCCCTTCCCGCCCCTTCTCTTCCTCCCGGCGGCGGCAGAGAAGCGGATGCCATTTTGAAACCTCGGGGCTGTGCCCCTGAGGCCAGGCCTGCCGGGACAGTCAACAGATGGGCGCATAGGGACAGACACGCTGCTCCTCTGCCACAGGCCCAGGGAAAACTGCCCCACTTTTCACAGCCCGGAGGCCCTAAGGCAGCTTGGGAGCTGAGGGGCCACACCCCCACTCGCAGACTTCAGCCTGCAGAGCTGCTGCCAGGCCCCTCTCCTGCCCCCAGCCTTGGACTCCCGGACCAGGCCTCCACAGGAACTCCTCGGCTCCCGGGGGGAGGCTGGACGGAAAATCACCAGGCCCTGCGTCTTTGCAGAGGACTGGCCTTGGATGCTCGGGGCCACGCCGGCCCAACCCCAGCCTCCCTCTCACAGGGCTGTGCGATCCCACAGGCCCACCCACCCGCAGAGGCCACATCCAGGCCTTCCAGTCCAGAAAAGGGACCGGAAACTCGGCACCCTCGGCAGATCTCCTCGGCCTGCCCACAGGGGCAGCAACATGTCGCTGCCTCACCACTTCCACTTCCCCCACCTCTCTGACAGCCACCATCTTCCCCGGCCTCGGCCTCGGCTGCACCTCCAACGCCAGCCCCTCCACACTCCCCTACTTCCCAGACTGCCCAGCAGCCTTCAACACTGGGAAATACGCTCGGGCAGAGGGTCTTCTCAGGGAAGGGTGGGCCTCAGCCTCTCTCCCAGGGCCACAAATGGAGCTCCAGGGCGCCCTAGCCCAGCCCAGGCCCTCTCCAGCCCCGCTTCCCTCCTCCCAGCCTGGCCCACCTGGTGCAAGAAGGGTGGTGGGATTGGGGAGGCCAGGGGTAGGGGACCAGTTAACGGGGAGCAGGGGAGGGTGTGAGAGTGAGGCCTGCCACGGGCGATCTGTGGTCAGGAGCAGGGGCTCTGAGTGGTTCCAGCTGGACAGAGCTCAGGAGCAGGCTCCCATCTGAGAGGGCCCATGGGGGGTCTAAGCACACAGGTGGAGCAGGCAGGCTCAGGATCAGGGGTAAGGCCCGAAGGAGGGCGTGGACAGAGCCCTGCAGAGGCCCAGGTGATGCTCATGCCCAACGGAATAGGGGGAACAGGTGGGGGGAAGGTGGAGCCGGAGAAAGTGGACTACGTAGGCAGGGTGCTGATGTCTGGGTGGGCTAGGAAGGGATGGAAGGACCGGCGGGGCTGGGGCTGCGGGCAAGGGTGAATGGCCAGGCAGGGCATGGGCAGCTGGTGTTAGGACGCCGCTGGTTGGTTTGTTTTGTCTTTTTGAGGCAGGGTCTCCCTACGTAGTTCAGGCTGGCCTTGGGCTCACTTTGTAGCCCAGCTGGCCTCGAACTAACACCGATCCTCCTGCCTCAGCCTCCCGAGTGCTGGGATTACAGGAGTGCACCACCACACCCGGCAGGACGCCACTGCTTGGGTCTGGGTTCTAGGATGAGTTGAAGGTCTGACCTAGAGTCCGGCCTCGATCAGCGGTCCAGACCAACCCAAGTGTTCCACTCTTATTTGGGGGTTGCGGCCCGCCTGCTCTCGGGCGGGGAGGGGCTCGAGCCCAGGGGTGGAGTCCAGACCCAGCCCGGGAGCCCAAAGCCTTTCTCGGGCAGGTCAAAGTCTTCGTCTAGTGACTCGGGCCAGAAATCTGGGGTCCCAGGTCCCGGCGCGGCCTCACCTAGCAGAAGCAACTTCACCTCCCGCGCCGCCTTCTCGCCGTCCTCCCGCAGGTTCTTGTCGATCATCTTGGAGCGCTCGGCCGCCGCCTTGTCCTCGGCGCTCACGGTGCACCCCATC